GATACGATAGAGGAAACAGGTCAAAGAAACATTAAATCTAGCAAAAGCTTAACACAAAATATCCAAGAAATATGGAACACCATGAAAAGACCAAACCTAAAAAAAATGAGAAGTCCAACTCAAAAACACAGAAAATATATTCAACAAGGTCATAGAAGAAAACTTTCCCACCTAAAAAAGATGTGCATATGAAGACACAAGAAACTTAGAGAACACCAAACAGACTGGATAAAAAAATGCCCCCTCACCACATAATAATCAAAACACTAAACATACAGCATAAAAAATATTAAGACCTGCAAAGGAAAAAGGTCAAGTAACATGTAAAGGTAGACCTATCAGAATTACACCTTACTTCTCAGTGCAAACAATGAAAGCCAGAAGGTCCTAGTAGAGCGTTATGCAGACATTAAGAGACCACAGATGCAGCCCAGAATACTATACACAGCAAAACTTTCAATCACCATAGATGGACAAAATAAGATATTCCATGACAGAACCAGATTTAACCAATACCTAGCCACACACCCAGCCCTACAGAAAGTACTAGAAGGGAAATTGCAACCCAGTGAAGTTGGCTACATCCTCAAAACACAGAAAATAGATGATCAAGCAGCAAATATCAAAGAAGAGAAAAAGAGACACAATAACACTACCAACAACAAAAACTAAAATAACAGGAACTAGCAATCACTGGTAATTAATATCCTTCAATATAAATAGACTCAACTCATGTATAAAAAGATACAGGCTAACAGATTGGATACAAAAACAGAATCCATCTGCTGCATTCAAGAAACACACCTCAACCTCAAAGACAGACATTGCCTCAGAGTAATCAAATGAACCTAGGAAACAAGCTGCTGTAGCTATCCTAATATCTAACAAAATAGACTTCAAACTAAAATCAGTCAAAAGAGACAAAAAAGGACATTTCATATTAGTCATAATAAAATCCAACAAGTTGAAACCTCAATACTAAACATGTATGCCCCAAATACAAGGGCACCCACATTTGTAAAAGAAACACTTCTAAAGCTTAAACACACATTAAACCTCACACACTAACAGTGGGAGATTTCAATATCCCACTCTCACCAATGGACAGGTCTGTCAGACAGAACTTAACAAGAAATAAAGGAACTTACAGGTGTTATGACTGAAATGGACTTAACAGACATCTATAGAACATTCCATTCAAACATAAAAAAGTATACCTTCTTCTCAGCACCCCGTGGAACCTTCTAAAAAACTGACTACATACTAGGTAACAAAGCACACCTCAACAGATTAAAAAAAAAATGGAATAACCCCATGTATCTTGTCAGATCACCATGGCTTAAAATTAGAATTCAACAGCAGCACTAATTCCAGAAAGCCCATAAACACATGGAAATTAAACAATGCTCACCTGAAGCATCAATGGATCGAGGAAGAAATAAAGGGAGAAATTAAAGACTTCCTAAAATTCAATGAAAATGACCACACAACATACCCAAATTTATGGGACACAATAAAACCAGTGTTAAGAGGAAAGTTCCTAGCACTAAATGCCTACATAAAGAACCTGGAAAAACAAAATAGGAACAAAGAAAACAATACAAAGAATCAATAAGGCAAAGAGTTGGTTCTTCGAGGAAAGCAACAAAATAGACAAACGTTTATCCAAACTAACCAAAAGGCAGAGAGAGGAGAGACCTAAACAGAGAACTTTTTTTTTTTTTTTTTTTTTTTTTTGGTTTTTTCAAGACAGGGTTTCTCTGTGGCTTTGGAGCCTGTCCTGGAACTAGCTTGCCTCTGCCTCCCGAGTGCTGGGATTAAAGGTGTGCGCCACCACCACCCAGCTAAACAGAGAACTTTCAACAGAGGAATCTAAAAAGGCTCAAAGACACTTAAGGAAATGATCAACATCCTTAGTCAGCAGAGAAATGCAAATCAAAACAACTCTGAGATTCTATCTTGCACATGTAAGTATGGCCAAGATCAAAAACACTGATGACAGTTTATGCTGGAGAGGTTGTGGGGTAAAGGGAACACTCCTCCATTGCTAGTGTGAGTGCAAACTGGTACAGCCACTTTGGATATCAGTATGGCGATTTCTCAGAAAATTAGGAAACAACCTACCTCAAGATCAAGCAATACCACTTTTGGATATATACCCAAAGGATGCTCAATCGTACCACAAGGGCATGTGCTCAACTATGTTCATAGCAGCACTGTTTGTCATAGCCAGAACCTGGAAACAACCTAAATGCCCCTTGACTGAAGAATAGATAAGGAAAATGTGGTACATTTACGTAATGGAGTACTACACAGCAGGAAAAAAAAAGACACCTTGAAATTTGCAGGCAAATGGATGGAGCTAGAAAACATCGTATTGAGTGAGGTAACCCAGACCCAGAAAGACAATTAAACTTAACAAAAGAAAATCAGTCCACAAATCACAATCCCAGAGAACATAGACAACAATGAGGACCTTAAGAGAGACATCCATGGATCTAATCTACATGGGAAATAGAAAAAAACCAAGATCTCCTGAGTAAACTGGTAGCATGGGGACCATGAGAGAGATAGAAGGGAAGGGGAAAGGATGGGAGTAGAGCAGAGAAAAATATATAGCTCAATAAAAAAATGTTCAAACTACAAGGGACTGTATACTTTCCCACTAAATGCTGCGAAGCTACAGGAGCTTTCCTTCAATATTCATTTCAGCCTTAGACCTATGGCTCATTGCTAAGTTATAAATTTTTATCAATCATAATTAGGTTCATGGCTTTCAAATGGCAAGTAATTACATAAAGCAGCATAGTTGTTTCTTATACACAACTTAGGGGTATTAATTTTCGAATGGTTTTTATTCCTGTTTAAAGTAGTATCTTTGATTACTGTCTTAGGGTTACTACTGCTGTCATGAAACACCATAACCAAAAGAAGGTTGGGGAGGAAAGGGTTTATTTCAGTTTACCCTTCAGGTTAGTAGTCCATCACCGAGGGAAGTCAGGGCAGGAACTGATGCAGAGGACATAGAGGGGTGACGCTTACTGGCATGATCCCTATGGCTTGCTCAGTATACCTTCTTCCTTCTTCCTTTCATATATATCCCATATCCCAGCCCCATCAGCCTAGTGATGGTAAAACCCACAATATGCTGGGCCCTCCTCCATAACCACTAATTAAGAAAACGCCTTACAGCTGTCTCTTCTGGAGGCATTTTCCCAATGGTTTCCTTCCTTCCAGATTAACTCTAGCTTGGGTGTCAGGTACAGTGGCCTATATTCTACCTACAGTTTAAAAAGTGTCATAGCCTCATTACTAACCTTTTAAACCCATCTTATCCTTACACGTCTATATTCTGATGGTTTTAAGTTTCCTTTTGTACTCTCCGTTCTTTCCCTATTATAATTTTCCTGTGCAGATTGAACCTAGGGCCTCATCCACGCTAGGCAAGAGCTCTACCACTGAGCTACATCACTAGCTCTAATTAAATTATAATTTGTATTATTTGTCAGTGAACTTTAGTTAGTTGCTAATGGACCAAGTTATATTCTGATAGCTTGGTTTTGGGCTTACAATGTTTTCACACCTGTAGGATTTTAAAAATTTAAATATTCATTCTGTTTACCAATTTAAAAAACTTAAATCTTGCTGGGCAAAGTGGTGGGGCACAGCTTAAATGCCCAGCACTTAGGAGGCAGAAGCAGATAGATCTCTGAGTTTGGTCAGTCTGGTCTACAAGTTAGTTCCAAGACACCTAGGGTTGTTACACAGAGGAAACCTGTCTAGAAAAAAAAACTTTAAATCTTCTTCAGGAAATGAGTTAATCAACAAATATTATATATACTGATAACCAAAATTTGAAATTGTAGTTATATTTTCTACTATAATATGAAAGACCTAAGTTATTTAGGTTTTCATTTTTTTAATGCCATAGCTAAGGTGGGAAAATGTAATAAATAAAACTGATCTATTTGGACTGTGGTGGCGCACGCCTTTAATCCCAGCACTTGGGAGGCAGAGGCAGGCGGATCTCTGTGAGTTCGAGACCAGCCTGGTCTACAAGAGCTAGTTCCAGGACAGGCACCAAAAACTACAGAGAAACCCTGTCTCAAAAATCAAAAAAAAAAAACAAAAACAAAAACAAAAACCAAAACTGATCTACTCTACCAGGGTAGGAGGAATGACGAACATGGGCAATCTGAGGTTTGGTGCCTAGAAAGAGCAGTAGGCAAGCTACTAAGAGAATTTAGTATAGAATCATTTATTTTAAAATTATTTACAAATTTAGCATTAGTCTCATTTTATGTACTTTCTAAGAATCCCTAATTCTGCCTGGATAGAGCACACAGTAGTCAAACTACTTAGCTATTTTCATTTTTCTCTTTAATTAATCATCTATTGATTTCATAAACTATGTTGGAAACTCTCAAGTATTTTACTCATTTTTTGCCAACGAACTACCAAAGCTTTACCTTTAGTACACAGTACACTTTTCATCAAAGTTGCTGCTTCACTTTAAGGTCAGGGTTGTCTGAAATGCATCTCCACGATCGTTCCCTCTGCTTCTTTTGACTATGTTGAGCCCAGGGTTTCAAGTCCTCTCATCAACAAGTATTCCAACACATCCACCTTAAAGACACTGCCTCTGACCTTGGAATATGCTGGTTTGGTCAGAGAGGCTGGCCATCAAATCCCAGAGCTAGGTATATAGGGGTATGCTGTTGTGCCCACTTCTTTACATCGGTAATAGGAATTGTATTCAGGGACTGGCAAAATGGCTAAGGGGAAGGGCACTGGCCACCAAGCTTGAAAGGAAAGAACTGCCCCAAGTTGACCTTTGAACCCTGCACCCCTCCCCCAGGTAAGTAAATGAAAACAAACTTTTAAAAAACTTGAGCACTCATGCTTGTATAACAAGCCCTTTAGGACTGAGCCATATCGCCAGCACTTTTTTCTCTTTTGAGAAGCATTTTCTTAGTATTTCAGAGTAAGACAAAGCACCATTTTAACAAAATGCAAATGTTTAATTTTTCAAAACTTAACTATACTAATGAAAATAAATTATAAACAACCTTCAATATTTGTACATTATCTTCATATAACTATAACAGTGCTTTCAAAAGACATCTTGTAAAGGATATTTCCACAATACCATGTTTCAAAAATAGGGCAACATTAAAGAACATTAGTCTGAAATATATCTCACAATGCTGAGAGGTATACTGTTCTTTATCAAATTAACCATACTTTTATTCAAAATAACATGGCTTTTAGTGACAATTATTTCTTGTCCATTTCAGTGATTTCTTGGATCCAAAACAAGATCTGTGTATTTATTTCTTTGAAGACATCATTTGTCGACCGTCCTTTCACTGCCATGGAATGATTTGCCTTCTCAATCCAGTGGATTTTACTGGGAGCTCGCATCTTCTGGGCCACCTTCTCCAACAAGTTCTAAAGAGGAAAGAGAAAGATGACCTTTCCTTCATCTGTACTGGACGGGCACTCCCTCCAGAGGACTCACTAAATACCTGCTCTACATGCAACTTTAGAGACAATGCAGTACATAACGAGGTATCTACAGCAGTGTCAGTCCACTCCTCTCAAACAGTCCTATAACAGAATACACCAAGCATTTGTTGACAAGGAAAACTTTTAGGCAGGTTAGAGTTATTCAAATTGTTTTCCCAAAAATCTTTCTCCCAAGAAAACTGTGTGTTCTGGAAAACAGTAGTCCATAATACTTAGCTAATATTCAGTAATATATGAATTCTGCTAACGCTTACTTGAGAGACAATAACAATCTGCCACAAAGCTGAAATGATAAACCAAATGTATACCCTGGTATCTCCCAAATCATAACAATCAGATATTACTAATTCTTCAAATAAGGATGAAATCTATTTACCAAATCCCTTTCTAGGGAGATCCATTTTATTAGTATGCTTTTATTTATTTTTTATTTATTTATTATTTATTATGTATACAATAGTCTGTGTGTATGCCGAAGGCTAGAAGAGGGCACCAGACCTTATTACAGATGGTTGTGAGCTACCATGTGGTTGCTGGGAATTGAACTCAGGACCTTTGGAAGAGCAGGCAATGCTCTTAACCACTGAGCCATCTCTCCAGCCCCTATGCTTTTATTTTAAGTGCTACAAAGCTACAGGGTAACAAAGACACACAACTAAATTAGACATAAGCATTTTTTTGTCTTGTTTCTGACAGGGTGATATAGCCCCAGCTGAACTGGAACTCCCTATATTCAAGGCTGGTCTTGAACTAACAGAGATCCACCAGCCTCTGTCTCCTGAGTTTATGAGATTAAAGGTGTGGGTCACCAGGTCCAGAAGCTGAATATGGCAGGCAATAATCTTGCCTCTAATATAGTTTACTCATACAAATACAGAGTTTCAATTCACCTTTTCACACATTTCATCTGCTGAACCTGACACAAACAGTACAGGATCCTTTATACGAAAGAGATCTTCGTCCCTGAGTTTCTGCTGCTGCTTTGGATGGTGCAGTGGGTAAGAAATACAAATGAGACCTCGAACAAAATCATCAGTGTCATCTAGCTCAGTGTGACACATTACAGAAGCAGCTGCTCTTGATCCCATCGAACGACCTAAAACCAATTAAGTTCAATTAGAAATAAATATTTACATACAATAGTAGCAATGGTATGGTAAAATTAGTTTTGCTGTTCTTCATACTTACAGAGGGAAAAAAAATCACAACTCAAAAGAGCAGCAAGCAATAAATTCTAATGCTTTTAATGGAATCTTACCGCTTTATGAAAAGCTAAAAATTGATCTAGCTTACCCCAAATTTTAAAAAGAAACAATTATTTTTCTCAATACTTAAAAGGGTGAAGAAACTCTCAATGAATCATTTGTAAGAGTAATAAAATGTAGTGAATAAGAGAATCTTATTTTATATTTAAACACATAAATGCCTTAAGCATATAAAGCTTAATAAAGTATCAAGGTTATGTATCAAAACAAAATAATCTGTTTTGTTTTGAAGACAGGTTTTCTCTGTTTAACAGCCCTAGCTGTCTTGAAACTCACTCTGTAGATCAATTAGCCGGGCCCCCAAATCACAGAGATTCGCTTGCCTCTGCCTCAAGTGTGGGGATTGAAGGTGTGCGCTATCACCCAGCTAAAATAAATTATTTCTTAAATTAACCTCCTGCTAGCAGTCTTAATATTTATAATGAAGTTATTACTAAAGCTTACCTCCAAGAAAAACACCAGCAAGTTTGTATTCTCCTGAGGTCTTTAGGTAATTCTAGATAAATCAAAAAAAATTATCAGTTCCTTTCATGTCATACTCCACTGGATATTCTTGTCATTACTGATATATACAAAAATTTATGCAAAGACATAATTTACCGAAGATACAGTTCTTTCCTCTTCTTGTCATGTGTTCACTATTAATCCTTATGTCAGCTAATATGTCAGGGAAAATCAATTTGCCTTCATAAAAATATTCAAGCAGTAAACTGTTGGGACACAGTCCAAGAATGGAGTTATGTGAGAATTCTGAGTGCTTGTGAGAAAACTCAAAGAAAACGAGTACTGTGACCTCAGTTTCTTCAAATCAGAATTGTTCTTGGCCTGTGTTTTCATGGGTCTCCCAGGTGCAGCAGATAGGAGTGAATTTACTTCAGCTGTAGTTATTCACATGCCTCTATTGAAATACATGTTTTTGCAACGTGTCTTGTTCTTGTGATTGAACATCTTACGTGATTCGACTTTTCTTAACACGCAGAATATAAATCATCTGATGCTCTAAACAAAGTTGGTTATTTCATGAGGCTTTCATCTGTCTAAATTTATTGGCTCCTTTTTCCCAGGTCTCACCACCTCCATAGTGGTAAACAAGTGGCACCCGAACAGGGAAGGACCTGAAGTCAGCCATGAGAGAGCCAAACGGGGCAGAAACTAGGGAAGACTTTGCTGTACGCCAAATTGTGCATAATTTCTTAAAGAAATAATGACCACAAGTATCAAAATCACAACTACTAGATTGCTTGAAAGTTGGTTATGATTATAATCCTGGTTTTCAGAAGGAATTTTACATGAAGTAGTATGAGATAGAGTCTAAAATATTATAAAGGCATTTAGCAAGGAGTAAAAGATCCTTTTTTAATTTGGGGTCACATGGGCATTGATTTCAACTGTTATTAAAATACTCATTAATCATGATAAAGAAGTAATTCCTGAATAGTTAGACCTTAAAATTGATAGAGGCAAATAAGGAAATTTTCCCTGTGCAGTAAAAATAATAAATAAATAAAATAAAAAACAGAAATGGTGATACCTATGCCAGGAATTGTTGCCTCAGCCCCCTTACTGGAGCCTCCTTTAAATACTTATCTCCATTGTATGAAAAATGACCTTGAAGTATGGGGTGAGGAATATGATAATTGATTTAATCTTGAATTGTCTCTACTTTTTGTGAGAATTTAGGAGATCCCATGTAAAAGCTAACTTTTTACAACCCAGGCAAGCTAGAGCACGGGTGGGAAAAGTAATTCCTCCATTGACGTCTCCCTGGCCTCATGAGCTGTTGCTTGGTACTTCCTGTGCCAATTTCAGCAAAATCAAAATTCTTACCTAATTACACACTAACTAATCTATTTAAGACCCTAGAAGGAAAGACGGCATTGGACAGTCCTCACACATTATTTCCAGAGGAAAGGAGGAACCTACAGCTATTTGAATCCAGACATTTATGTCTCAAGTGGATTCTTTCACTGCCTTCGAACTCATTTTCTCCACTAAATTGTCTCCTACAGCTATTACAGCACAAGAGGATAATCCTTTGGATTATTTGCACCACAAGAGCCATAAAATATTGCTTACCTTACTGTTCCAGTTCAATTAGTAAATAAAGACAGGACCCAATGTAAACAATTAATCATATGGGCCTCCTTCCAAGCTTTTCTCCACAATTTCCTGATCAATATGATACTGTAACTAATAGTACTGGCCAGTTTGAATCTCTGTTGTTGGTGGCAGAAAATTCCAATGTTCCCTTTACAGGATATTTAACAATTTATAAATTTATGAATCAAATGACAATTAGATTTACCTAAAACATCTCAAATCAAAACCACTCTGGATATCCTATTATTATTTTATTATCCTATTTAATTATCCTATTTAATATTATTTTATTAAAATAAAAATGGGGAGAAGTCGGAACATAGTCCAAGAATGGAGTCAAATGAGAATTCTGAGTGCTTGTGAGAAAATGCCAAGAAAATAAGATTAGATTCTTGTAACCTCAGTTTCTTCAAAACACAAAATTGTTCCTGGAATGGGTATTTATGCTCCTCCCAGCTGTACTGGCTAGGAAGGAGTTTACTTCAGCTGTTATTTCTATGCTGCTAGATGGAAAAACGTATTTTTGCCATATGTGGCTTGTCCTTGTAAGCGAACAACTTACTCATGCGATTCTTAACTCTCAGAGTATAAATTGTCTGAAACTCTAAATAAAGTTAGCAACTGCACGAGACTTTAGTCCACCTCATTTTTAGGTTTCCCCTCTCCCAAGTGTGTGTCTCCAACTAGAGTGGTAAACAGTAAACTTGATAAAGAATTGTATTTTAAAAGCTAGTAGAAGTTTCAAATTTGATGAAAATACTAGCATAGAATGGTGGTATATTTGTATATGCATAATAGTACAGTAGGTTTAATAACCTAGATTGGCATAACTATATTCTAAGACCACATTATCCCAGTGAGAAAATTCTACATAGCGTTTTTGGCAGCAGCATGAAAGAACACTGACGGTGTGAGCCTTCATCTCCGTGAAAAGAAGCTGATGACAAAAAAAGAGAAACATGAACACTAATCGCCTATGTGCACTGCCACGTTTCTAAGGAAATTAGAAATTATTTTTATCTAAAAATTAGATAACAAAATACCTTAAATTTATGAAGAATTTTAAGCAGAACCTTGTTACAAGTAAATATATTTTTCTTACCAAAACTGCTTTATATGCCTTAATTCTATGTACAATATTAAGGCCTTTGCAAGTAAATCTTAGGCAAAAAAACCCATGAGATGCAAGATGGGATGCCAGTGACATCAAATGAGGAAGATTCATATCTCCTGATGCTCCATGTGTAAGAATTATTCCATATGCTATGTTCTTGTTAGGTACCAAACAAACGGCATCCAGTAATTTATTTCCAAAAGGTATTTTTAATTTAACCTAAAATTCAAGAGAATAAAAGGATCAAATTATTTCCTTGACTATTTAGACAACTGAATAAATACATGTATTTGTTTTGTAAGACTCATGGCCTCCAAACAAGTCCTGATATATCTAAGAACTGTTTACTGTCAGGTGCTTTAAGTGCTCTGCATCAACTCTTGTAAGCATTCCTTATAATTCTACAAGGAAAGTACTATTGCTCCTTCCCAGATAAGGCACAACAGATTAAGTAACTTGCTCAAGGTTACATAGTTTTTACTCCCCAACTCTAATTCTGTACTGCCTCTCACCATGCAAACTGAAAATAAGACTATTACACAGAACTGATTATTAACCCATTTCCCCATCTCCCCAAAAGTTTAATCTGAAGATACAGAACACATGATACTATCTTACCTCCGTATGACTCATTTTCACTGTTGAATAATAAACACAAAGTGCATTACATCCAAGAAGCAAATGACATCTCCCTGAAAAGAAGATTCTGTTGTGAAAGGTGAGTTGTCAGACATGGGAATGACCCCCAAACTATGAATGAGCACATTCAAAAGCTGAAATAAACACAACCAGAAACTAGTTTTCTACAAACTGGTATCTATATTTATTACTTACTCTTGTATCACTTTCAAGAGATTTATGGGTACTCAAAACTAATTACAGGAGCTGGCAGACATAAGATAAAGCAAATGGGATACTTTGATGCAGAGGCCTTAGAATAGTTCACTCCAAATAGGATGCTGTACCTTTACAAAAATACTTTTGAAATATATTTATAAGAATATATATTTGTGCCGGGCGGTGGTGGCGCACGCCTTTAATCCCAGCACTTGGGAGGCAGAGGCAGGCGGATCTCTGTGAGTTCGAGATCAGCCTGGTCTACAAGAGCTAGTTCCAGGACAGGCTCCAAAACCACAGAGAAACCCTGTCTCGAAAAACCAAAAAAAAAAAAAAAAAAAAAAAAAGAATATATATTTGTAAGAATCTTCATTCTTGCTGGGTGTTGGTGGCGCACGCCTTTAATCCCAGCACTAGGGAGGCAGAGGCAGGCGGATCTCTGAGTTCGAGGCCAGCCTGGTCTACAAGAGCTAGTTCCAGGACAGCCAGGGCTACACAGAGAAACCCTGTCTCAAAAAACCAAAAAGAATATTCATTCTTACTCCAACTTACTTTCTATATATCTACTAAATAATTTTCTTCATTATTCCTTTTTCCATATAATCTCGACCATTTTTAATTTAATTTCCCTGCAGCTATGAAATAATTTTTATCATTTCATTCCCTCTTTTTAACAGAAGTCTGTAACCACAGTCTTTGTCATGTGATCCTACTGGCTTTGGGTTTGGCTACTGAAACATTTCAAAGTGCCACTTCTGAGTTGAGCTATGGCAAATTCCTAGAAATTTAGCACTGAATTTCACCCTGAACCATAGAGAAAAACTATCCCAGGAAGTTTTTCATTTTCAGCAAAAATTCCATAATGAAGACAGCTTAAGCAATTCTGAAGTCAAATTAAAGCCTGGAAATCAGTCTAAATCACAACTGATCTGAAGAACCATTAAGCATGAATGGGTGCAAGCCACTGTAGTTTTTGAGACTGCTGTTCAGTATCCATTCCCTTGCATTTTAAGAGAGCTTTCATTTTTCAACATATCATTTTACACCAGAATTTCCATTATCATCCATAGGCCTTCACTGGCATTTGTTTATTAACTAGGTACACAGTAATATGGCTCAAAGCTCACAAGACACCAAGAATATATTGACTCATTCCACTTTTGCCTTGCACTCAGAACTCCTCTCAAGGAAACCGGTATTACTTGCTTCTTGTGACTCTTTCTAGGTGATATTATACTTACAGGTATATCTACTTATAGGTATATTTGTAAGAAAATTTCACAGGCGAGGAAATGCTACATCAAATCTGTTCATAATTTTAAAATATTCCTTTTCGCTGGGCGGTGGTGGCGCACGCCTTTAATCCCAGCACTCGGGAGGCAGAGACAGGTGGATCTCTGTGAGTTTGAGACCAGCCTGGTCTACAAGAGCTAGTTCCAGGACAGGCTCCAAAACCACAGAGAAACCCTGTCTCGAAAAAACCAAAAAAAAAAAAAAAAATTCCTTTTCATTTTAATAGCAGGCAGCACATACATCTATCAATTGTTTGTGTTGCATGTGTGTATGCGCAAGCGCACATACCTGTGTGCCTGCATGTGTCAGCCAGAAGTAAACACCAGGTGTCTTCCTCTACTACTCTTATTTATTAAGATAAGGTCTCACATTGAGTTTGGAGCTCATCAGTTTGGGTAAGCTGGTTGGCTAACCAATAAGCTTTTGTTACTCTGGGTTCATCCAGTTTAGGCCTAAATGGATGCTGGGGATCAAACAATATTCCCAGCTTTTACAGCTGGTATTTTATCAGTCGGAACATCTCCCAAGCTCCCAGTATAAAATTTAAAAAAATAAAAATGTAAATAGTGAGGTCTCTTTGCATTTAATTTACTGTTAAATTCCTTACTATTTGCCAGGAGCAACCATTAACTGGTGTGTGTGTGTGCACGCGTGTGTTTCCTCATTGTCTTGTTCATCCCAGCCCTACTGTCTTGGGTCTGGAAGTTATTAATACTAAAAAGTTTTGGAAGTTGAAAGAGAAGTAGATGAAGAAATTATGGCTTTGGTCCTCATTTTCATAAATATATCTTTACAAATACCTGTCTTGGATTCTCTAGTCAAAAAAGTTTTTTTTTGTTTGTTTGTTTTTTGAGACAGGGTTTCTCTGTGTAAACAGCTCTGGCTGTCCTGGAACTAGCGTGGTAGGCTACACTGGTCTCAAACTCACAGAGATCCATCTGCCTCTGCTTCCCAAGTGCTGGGATTAAAGGCCTGCACCACCACTACCCCCAAACCCTTATTTTTGTCAAAATAAGCCTCCTTCCTGTCTTCTAATCATGGGGGACATAAGCACTCAAGAGTGTGAAAGGGGAAAAGGAATCTAAATATATGACTGCTCCTTAAAAAGATTTAACCTAACACTTCCTAAGTCTTCCACCTCTGCCCACATCAACACACTTCCAACTCTATCTGGTGCTGCCAGTTTCTGTGTGTTCTGAATGGTATGATTTATTCACACCAGTTGACGAGTTTTATTGCGTCCCTCACTGCTGGTTTTGCCATTGCTTCTTAAGAGTTCATTATTCAACTTCTCTATTTTCCAAGGTTTCTATCCCAGTGTCCAAAAAAAAAAAGGGGGGGGAGCCACGTTGGGTGGGTATGCCTATAATCTCAGTACGTGAAAAAAAAAAATCACTGCAAGTTTGAGACCAGGCTGAGCAAGACCCTGTCTCAAAAAAACCCAAACACAAAACAAAACAAAAAACCAAACATCCTTCCCTGTAATTTCGATGACATTTCAGAAAGCAGTAAAATTAGAAGCAGGTTTTCCATTTACCATCAACCTAGAAGGCTCTTTCAGATTAACCTGGGGTTTTGTTTTTAAGGACAAACTCTGCGCTGCTCCGGAGTTCATGATCAACTTGTTCTTCACGACTGTTGCACACGTTTCTTCTAGCCTGCTTCGGTAACCCTGAAAACGTCCCGAGGGTAACAGCTCAAAGCAAGTGATGAGTGTCGATTTTATCTCTAGCATTTTTTTTTTTTCCTGGAAGGATAAGGGAGGACCAAAGCCTGGCTCCGCCTCAACGTCCACAGCCAGCAGATGGAGAAAACAGCTACCAACCCGGTAGATGCAAGGTGACAACCGAATGCTGACCCTTAAATGCGGTTGACGGGGTACCGGTTCTAAACGCCGTTGATCAGCAAGGGGGAGAGGTTGGGGGGGGGGGAGGTGCTCCTTATACTCCGAGGCAGCGTTTTTTCTGGTCCTACCTTCCACTCAGCCGTCAAAACACCCGGGCCACCTGACTTCCAGTTAAAAAAAAAAAATAAGTATTGTCTGTTACGTCTGCAGCAAATACGTCGGCTGTCACCGGTCGAACAAAACTGGGAGTCTTACCGGGGGTCGACTCACCAAACGAGAAAGAAAAAAAAATAATAATAATAATCCAAACCCGAGGTCAGGGGTCGACGGGAATCGTCGTGGATTCGCTCAACGGACGTGAAGCCCCGGGTCGGGCAGGCGCCCTCCCGCGGGAGCCTCTCACGGCTGGCGGGGAGGCTCGGCTCCGGTCACCCGCGGCAGCCCACGGACGGACGAGTCTCCGCGGCCCGGCCCCCCGCCTGCCCGCCGCTGCCGTACCCACCCCGTGTCCGCCCTCCCGGGGCTGCTGCCCGACGGCGGCCGGCTTCCTCCGACGCCTCAGGCGGCCCCCGACCGACAGCCCCCGAGGGGCGGCCCGCCCGGCGCGGCCCCGCTGCCCCCGCTTCCCGCCGCCGCCGCCGCGCTTACCAGCGAACGCACGAGACACCGCCGGACGCCAACCGCCCTCACTCTCTTCGGGGAGCGAACTAACACGCTCGAAGCGACCGCCTCGCCACCTCCCCCGTCAGCGCGGCCCGCCCCTGCGCACGCGCACACAGGCTCCGCCCTCCCCGGCTCGTGGGACTTGCGCGCGGCACGCCGGGAAGGAGAGTTTTCTCCTTCGCCGGAGCTCGGCCCCGCCTCCTGCAGGCGGGGAGCTGGGATCGGGAGTTCAGGGCGCTGGTGCAGCCGAGCAGCGCGGGAAAGCCGCGCTCGCGTCGCCGCCTCAGCTTCTTCCGGTCCGTTCATCCTTTGGTTAGACGTGGTGTACAGCCCGGACTAGCTAGCCCTTTCCCCTCGCCCCGCCGTGGATTCCTTATCCGCTTGGCTTTCAGGCGCGTCCACCCCGCTGCCGCATGCGCACAGGACAAGCTATGCATGCGACCCCAGACAAAATCGTGCACTTAAAACGTATTTCCTAATTAATTTATTATTGGTGTTATTACTGCGACTTGCTTTCCTTTTGGCAGCTTGACTACGTGGTTCAGTGTGAGCTTTGTAGATGGAAAAGTCAAAACAGTGTCAAAAGATTGGACGCCTCTCACCCTCACCCGTACCAGGCTAGGCTAAGGCTCCCCCCTAACTCTGACTGCCTAAACTGGTCACCCGAAGGCTGTGTCGCTACCAACTTTGTGCCTTCACAGCAGCTGGATGATCCTGAGGCTTTAGGACCGACCACCCAGGACCTCCGCACTTCCTTCTTCGGAGACTCCTCACCCTAACCTGTTCCAACTCATCAGATTGCACCTTTTACTTAGGTCTTCACTCACGTCTTTTTCTGTCTTTTTTTTTTTTTTTCAGTTTAAACTTCCTTAATGAAAAGATAGTTTAGTGGTGTCAGTGTGTGTGTGTGTGTGTGTGTGTGTGTGTGTGTAATTTGACTGAAACTCCTGGTATAGGATAAGGCCAGACAAATGTTTCCAGAATGAATCCCCCTCAGGCACAGTGATTTTAGTACCTAGGTTAATCCCAACTTCGAGAATAAGACCACTACCACAATTTGAACCTAATTTGAGGCAAGCTTGATTTTTATTAGGGTGCACCCACGAGCTGGCCAGTGAGTAGTTTTATAGAGGGGAGACAATGGAGCAATATGGAAATTAAAAAATACAAGAAACAAAATGAAAAAAAAAACATTTAAAAATGTCACGTGATCACCAAGTGATTAGGAGGGCTCAGGGAGGGTCAGGGTTCAAAAACATATCAAGGTCATAGGGTGGAGAAGGTCAGGTTCCAGGAACAGAGCTACTCAACTGTCACAGTAAAAAGAAACTTATTTTAAAAAAATACAGCATAATGGCTCCTGCCTTTAAAATGGAGTCAGACAGGTTCCTCACCGGCCCTCTTTCCTGGCACAGTACATACTAAGAAGCAATTGGCTGAAATTGCTTATCACAAGGGCTTTCTCAAGCTAGAGTCTTACTACTTTCAGTTAACACTTCCTTGTTGTCTGCTAATCTCTCTTCCTTCCTTCCCTCCATCCATTCCTTTCCTTCCTCCCCCGCCCCAAGCCTCTCTCCTCACTTCTTTGGGTTGTGGGGGATGGAACCCCAGGCTTTGTCCATGCAGACATGCCACCACTAAGCTACATTGCTAGTTCATGTCTGCTATTCTAGCTATGCTTTATTGGCTTTCTGTGTCTGCCCCGAGTTTCAATTCAAGTACACAATTTGGTGATGTCTGGTAACTATACAGTCATTTGCACCCGTCCATCAAGTTCTAAGCACATATTATTTCTAGAAGACACTTGCCACTCCCCTTTCCTACCTTGGACACCAGAGAACCCCTAACATGATTTGTGTGTATAGACTTACCTTTTCTGGATGTAAAGGTCATGTAAATCGAGTCATGGAATGAGATCTTTCATCTGTCATCTTGCATGTAGCATGTGCAAGGGTACTCTGCTTCTTCCAACCAACTTATCACTGAATCCCAAGCAACAGCTGTATGGACCGATTTGCCAGTCCATGGCCATGTGGAGTATTGTGAACCATATTGCTGCAGTGTTCAGAGGCTGTGTTGAGAGAAGCAGAGCAAGACTTTAAGACGTCAGGCTGCAGGCTAGGAAGCTGGAGGGAGGGTTCCCAAGGCCAGAAATGTTAGGAAGGCAGCATTAGAAGAAAAAAGGCAAGTGCCCCACCCGTTAAACATTAGCCCAGGAAAACTGATCTCAGACTGCGACCTCCAGAATTGTAAGAACACATGTACGTTGTTTTAGATGACTACGTATGTGATAGTTTTTTTTTTTCTCTTCACAGAATAGGAAACTAATATAAAACCTTATTTATGGACCAAAATTTGAGTTCTGCATGTACTGGAATATATATTTTCTTGAAATTATTCTTATCTTAGAAGCTTTACAAACATGGGTAGTGGGCCAGATTTGCTCTGTGGGTAGTTTAAAATGTTCTAAGTCAAAGCCAGGCATGGTGGTCCACTCCTTTAATCCCAGCACTCAGGGGGCAGAGACAGGTAGATCTCTATGAGTTTGAAGTCATTTTGCTATACATAGTGAGTTCCAAGCCAACCATGATTACCTACTAAGACCATGTCTTAAAAAAAGGAAAGAACTTAAAGCAAATTAAATAACCACATGGTATAAAAGTCTCAAGAAGTAAAAAATGAGAAAAAAAATTGAATGTCTAAATCACTTACTGTACCAATTAATTCAGCATCACCAAAGAAATAATGATCATGGCTTTTTACACTGCTTCAAAATTAAAATGCTATTACTGTAGTTCGTGAAAAATTAATGCAACAAAACCAGAAAAATAGAATATGGGGGCTGGAGAGATGGCTCAGTGGTTAAGAGCACTGACTGCTCTTCCAAAGGACCTGGGTTCAATTCCCAGCACCACATGGTGGCTCACAACTGTCTAAAGATCCAGTTGCAGGGGATCTGACACTTTCACACCAATGCACATAAAATAAAGTTAAATAAACCATAAAAATATTTTAAAAATATTAAAAAAAATATGAACAGTTCCAATAGATACCTGAAAAAATTGCTATTTAAAGTTCTTCTGGTTGATAAACTTTAATAAATTAGTACATTTTAAATTTTTTTAGCAGTGGCTTATCATAATTTATAGCAACAGTCAATATCCAATTAGCATATTTAGACTAGTGCTAAGTAGACTCTACTAGGCATTCCTGTGATACCACTTTTAGCCACAAACCCATACTTAATTATTTTTTATCTATTTTTTAAAAAGATTTATTTATTTATTATGTATATAGTGCAGGCCCAAAGAGGGCACCAGACCTCATTACAGATGGCTGTGAGCTACCATGTGGTTGCTGGGAATTGAACTCAGGACCTTTGGAAGAACAAGCAAAGCTCTTAACCACTGAGCCATCTCTCCAGCCCATACTTAATTAGTTTATTGATTTTTAAGTTTCCATTCTTTTTCAAGAAGAGACAGAAACTATTCCCTGATCTATCTTTCGAACTTATACACTATCTGAAGACATACTAGGTGCTCAATAAACATGCATTGTGAGAATTCCCATTAGTGACGGTTAACTTGGTCGGGCCATTCCCTGGCGTAAGGTCAAGCATTCTGGATATTCTGCCAGGGCAGTTTTCAATGAGAACAACATTTAAATCAGTAGACATGGAGACTGACTGTTATGATGTGGGTGGGACTTGTCTAATTGGAGGAGAAACATGTGTGGTGGGCCTAAAAGGCTTGTACCAGCATGCCTGGCCTCCAGCTGCTACATTCATTGCATTTTAAAGTAATTATTCCTTTTAAATCTGTTGCCCCTTCCAGGTCCAGGGAAGTCTGTCAGACCCTAAAAAGAACGGTCTCTGTACTCAAGATGGCTTAAGGTCTGGGGTGGAAGGGCAGAGTTTACAGGCGACTACGGCAAAGGATGGTGACAGGGGCGTGACATCTCTGAAATGAGCTGGACAAAGAAGAATGGATCCTGGCTTCCACACCAAGGGAAATGCAAATACCAGGGCAGGAAGGAAATAAGCATTGGGTGAACGGTGACAGGGTTCATGTTGGTTGGTGGTTAATAGATCTGACTACAGCTGGGGCAGAGGCCAGATAAAGGCAGTTCTACCATGTTTTATTACAGTGAGGTTTGGCCGTGACTGAATGAATAGTCATTCCAAGATGCAGCAGTTCAAAAGAGACAGAGTTGTCGGTAGTTTAAGAGGGAGTCACACGTCTTCCAGGCCAGCCTGACGTGCACCTCAAACTGGTCTTGAACTCATGGCGGTCCTCTTGCCTCAGTGTCGGGAGTGCTGGAACTACAGGCATGAACCACCACAATTAGGTGGGTTTTGTTCTGTTTTTGGAGGTCTGTCTGATTCAGAGCCAGCAGTCAGCAGGCCGGAATCAAGGACCCAGACTTTCCTTCTTCTACTCAGTTAATAATTGGTACAAAATAGGCCCTTAAAATAAAGGTGGTTTTATTATAAAAATTTAAAAATGTTTTGTAAAAGACAGTCATGGGAATACTGCATTTAAGAAGACACACTCTGAGAACACAAACAGTCACTGATAGATTTTACACTGTTTTTGGATTAATACTTAAAAATAATCTTCTTTTACAGTTAAGAAGTGTCTTCGGAGCACCATCATTTGAATAGAAGATATTTTGCACATCAGAGTTCATCTTTGGTCTGTAATTAAGAAGAAAAATTTAAGAGCCACTAAGAAATCTTAGAATCAAGAATACTCATACCAGACAATTGAAAAAACCAACCAAACAAAAAAACCCAAGTTTTCTTTTAGGTATCTTAAGGACTCAGGACTATTTCTGGAGGGCCAGAATCACCCACCAGGTACAAAATCACACTAGGCTTCATGGGAGTGAGTGATGGAGAGCTTCAATACCCAGGGGTCTGTGTCACCACTACACCTGTGTTATAGATACTGCGTGTGAAGAGATGGCCTAGACAGAGAACGATTCAAACTTCCAATAGTTGGGGGAAGATGATGATCTGGTACCAATTCTAACTAAATCACATAAGAAATAGAAAGGAAATGAAATTGCCTCTTCTCATGCAGAGCCAAGAGAAACTGTGTGACATTGAATCCGTTTCAT